TGCTCTATTTGTGGTCATCGTCCTCAAGGCCTAGTGGGCCAGGATGTGCTCCAGTCTCTCCTCCTCCCCTGTCATCTGCTCCTGTGTGCTCTGGTCAGATATATCCTTCTCCCGAAGCTGCAGATTCAGTGCCATCCTTTGAGATACATTCTTCTCAGGGGAGGGGCAGTAGACTCACTTTTCAATCAACAAATTTGGCAACCTAGCTAAATTAACCTACAGCCAGGTGGAACAGAATCTTACCATGCAACAATTATGAATTGTTAAGATTGTTAACATAAGATTGTTAACAATTATGAAGAATAAGATTTATTGAATATTGTGTTTCAGTCAAGGAGGAATTTCACATTTAGAAAACTAGCCAAAGTTATACTAATAAAGCAATTAAAGCAAAGTGTTCTTTCAGTACTCCTATCCCGAGACTGTACCATACTACCTCCTGCCTGGCCTGGCTGCCTGCCTGGAAACTTATCAAATAAGAAAGAAGCTTCAAAAAGTTCGTGGAGGTATGAGTGGAAATACTGGGAGGGTAGAGGGAGAGTAAGTTGGAAAGAGAGAACCGATTACAAGGAACTATGTGACCTCCTCCCTGGGGGAAAAATGAGGACCTAATACCAGGGGCTTAAGTGGAGAGGAAATGTTTTGAGAACGATGAGGGCAATGAAAGTACAAATGCGCTGTACACAATTGATCTATGTATGGATTATGATAAGAGTGGTGTCAGCCCCTAATAAAACGATTAGAAAAAAAAAGGGCTAGAGAAAACCGAGCGGCTTCTGTTATTAACCTTATGATTCATGAATAAAAGCTAGGCCCTGAGTCTGGCTTTAGACTGAAAAAAAAAAGTTCGTGGAGGAAGTCCACTGTCTTAATTTTCCCACAATTTGAAGCCCAGATGTTGAGAAAGTAAATCTGATTCGTACTACAAAACATAAACATAATACAAAATTTGATCTTGTTTTAGGAAAAGTAATGTGGTTCAAGAAAAGAAACAACTAGATGCTTTCAAGGACAAAATAAGGTAAAAATCATTATTTCCAAACAACTTGATATTCCACTATAATTTTTAAAAAACCTGTAGATCAAAAAATATTTAGACAGCTAAAAACCTATAATAAAGTCTTTAAGTTCTCTCCAATCTCCCCTCATCAACGATTTTTTGAAACAAAGATGTCTGGTATAATCTATGGGTTTCTTTTCACCACGACATAGGAAAGAAGTCAAGAAGAACGCAGTAATTTGCTTTGTCTCCACAGTTTTAACCACCCATTATAAAGAATTAAAAAGGAGAATGTTTTTGTGAATACTACTCACGCTTTACAAATAATGGAGTGCTGAACCTCAAACTCCAAGTTAGTAATCACAGGACAAGTGAAAGCTCTGGGTGTGGAAATATCTGGCGAATTGTCTTCTCCAGGAACAGGTTCAGTCTTCCAAGTTTTGTTTAGTTTTTCCATATCCTCTTTCAGTTGGTCTAAGCACTGACTTAAAAATTCATGGGCATCCTAAGAAGGCAACAACATCCTCAATCAGATCAAAACATTTCTCATCATCATCATGATTAACAGATAGTTAACACTGTGATTCATATGACTGTGGAAAACAGAACGGGGAAGAGAGTGTATGTGGATAAACTCTCAACGCTAATGTGTTACGGAGTCTGGGGGCTTCAGTGGAGGGAGACCTTTGTGTTCCGTAAGTGGATAAACTCTCAATGCTAATGTGTTAAGGAGTCTGGGGGCTTCAGTGGAGGGAGACCTTCGTTTTCCAAAGTTGAGATGCATTCCATTAGCATTCTCCTAAGTAAATGTTATTCTCCTCAATGTCCTCCCATGATAATGCCAATTTTGTAGTGCTGTTTGCAAACACATGGTCCTTTACTATACTCCACCCCCTCCCACCCCCTTTACTATACTCTTGAAGGTCAACTACTTGAGGACTATGTGCCTAAAGGTTATCTGCCACCCAAAGTAGCCAGATTCTAACCTTAAGTACAGTACACTCCCTTCTGATAAGGATCACAGATAATTCCACCAGAGAAGAGTTCAAAGACACCTAAGGTCAAGCCAGCTCAGAAATGACCATGGTTGGCTGCCATCCTGACTCTAGAACCCACACATCTGGTTATGTACCTTCCTGTCACATGTATGCCTTTACCTTTCCTGTTTCGTGTATACTCCAAGTTTGTCACTCTCTGGTTACATGTATGCTTTTAATATAGCCCCTTCCTGTTATGTATGTGCTTACTGTGGCTTATATGCCAAAGATTATATAAGGTTGGAGAGACTGTATTACTGCCTCATTCTGGTTCCAGTCTCCATTAGAAGAGGTGAGCCCTTGCATGTCTTGTCTCATGCTTCTTTAACATTCCCCTCAATCACAAAATCGCTCCTTGGACCTGTTCAGTTGTGGAGGCTGGTCCCCGCATATAACCACCAAAACCAAACTCCCTGCCATCGTGTTGATGCCAACTCGTAACAACCCCATAGAACAGGGGAAAACTGCCCTGTGAGTTTCTGAGACTGTAACTGTTCATGGGAATCCCACCTTTCTCCCTCAGAGTGGCCAGTGGTTTCAAACTGCTGACTGTTTGGTTACCAGGCTAATGAGTAACCTCTATACCACCAGGGCTTTCCTTATATGACTAAAACACTTGAAATTCAATAATATATGTAATTTATTAAGGTCTGATTTAGTCTAAATAAAACTGGGTGATGGATTTTATAGCCCTAACTATCTGCTGGATTAGCATAAGTGAATTACTCTTTGCCTTCAAAAAGAATGCTATTTTTCTAAAATAGCCTTTGGAGTTAAAACAGTCCAAATTTCTGCAATGGTAAACCACATCTACATTATTGAAACATGATAAAATGCAGAGAAGGGTCACAGTGAACTTTCATGTAACTCTCTGGGTTTTTCAGTTGTGATGAGCATGAAAGGCCACAGTATTTGCAATGGTCTCATCAGACAAGTGAAAGCTGGACACTGACAAAGGAAGACTGAAGAAGAACCAATATATTTGAATTATGGTATTGGTGCAGAATACTGAAAGTACCATGGACTGCCAGAGAACAAACAAATTCATCTTCAAGGAAGTACAGCAAGAATATTTCTTAAGAAGTGAAGATGTTGCTGACCTTGTCTCAGGTACTTTGGACATGTTATCAGGAGGGCATACTTGGCAAAGCAAAGGGTCAGAAAAAAAAAAAAGATCCCTCAATGAGATAACATGTCAAGTGGCTGTAACAGCGGGCAGTGTTTTATTCTCCTGAACATAAGGCTGCTGGCTATTAAGTCATGAGTCAAAACTGATACAACACCTAAAAACAACACATAGAAATTCTCATTTAAAAATAAAAACCATGTAGCACATTATATCATTTCAATACCCTTATCACTAAAACGTCTGAAAAGAATGTAGTACTCACATTCTGCATGTAACCAGAGAATCTCTCTGCTGTGGCTGAAATGGCATTTTTCACCTTCTTGAGTAAATCTTTTTTAGTTTCAGAATTACAGATATCTTTTTTAACAAGCAAGTGTGCAAAGCGCCTAAAAAAAAACAAGAGATAAATGATATTCTAAAGATTAATTATTAACAATTGTACACTAAACTTTAAATGTCTGTCATCATTGAGGTAAAAAGGTTACAAAACCCACCACGACGGAGTCAATTCTGACTCACGGTGCCTTACAGCACAACTGCTCCCCTTGGTTTCTAAGGCTGTAAATATTTAAGGGATGAGAGAGAGAGAACCTCAACTTTCTCTCCTGCAAAAGGTTAAAGTACATACCTGAGAAGTGCATTGAGTGGAATTTTCTTCCATGGGATTCCTTGCTTAAGCAAATCATTTGCAAATGACTGAAGTGAAAACAGAGATTGCAAAATAGCATTCATATAGCAGGTATTTCCCAAATTGGAGAAGCTGAAAATAAAAGAAACCGTGCTTTAGAAGATAGTAGCAGTTCTTGAAGTATGCAGGTTAAGTAAAAAGTAGTCATAAAATCAAAGAAACCTTTATTAAATAAAATTGTTAAATCTGACACTATTGCTTCTAAGCATAGACTATACACACCGAGATCTACACACTTTTGTGGATGAAGTTTATTTCTCTAACCCTTCCCCAAAGAATTCTGTGCACCTCAATTTAAACCATGTCATAAGAGCAGTTCTGGCACCCTTGGGGAACTCAAATAGGGTTCTTTTTAATGTTTGGGGAACAAAAGAAGTCTAAAAACTTCCATATACTACAGGTGGGACTGTAAAACAATACACCCCCCCATGGAAAGCAGTATTTGTGTAGAAGTTTCCTTTAAGAATTTGGAATAGAGATTATGATATGACTAAAGCTTGGTAGAGGATCAGCAATAAAGAGAGGAATCCATGTACTTGACATATATCCTAAAGAAATAAGCAACAGCACAAATTGATATATGCACAGCCATGTTCATCAAAGCACTGTTGAAAAATAGCAGAAAAGATGGAAACCACCTAAATGTCCATCAATGGAAGTATGGCTAAGCAGATGCACACAAAGAAGGACTATGTAGTTTTAGAGAATAATGATGATATCTGCACACCAGCTCACAACATGGTTGAAAACGGAGGATACCACGATGAGTAAAATCTGTCAAGCACCAAAGAACAAATATTATACGAAACCTCTATTCTAAAATGTCAGGAAAAGGTCGTCAAACTGTAATAAAGACTTTATTACCGGGCTGAAAGGAAAGGGAAGCCACAGCTGACACCGTGGACAGGTTGTTAACTTGAATAAAGGGGAAGAAAATATTCAACAAGAAGGAAATAGGTGAAAAGAATGGAACAAAGCAAGACACTGGGTAGTTTGATGAGCTTTTCATTACAAAACTGATGATGATCTGCTCTGTAAGCCTTCACACTTCACCTAATTCAAAATAAAAAGGAAAAAAGACACTCTGAAGGGGCAAAATCAGGTCTGTAGGGCGGATGTGATTAAGGTTTCCAAATGAAATTCTCCCAGGACAGCCCCTGCGGGTACATCATTGTGATGGGAAATGATTTCTCAGTGTTATTTTCCTGGCTTTTTTATTACTAACAAAGTTTTCAATTTTCTTAAAACTTCTTAATAAGTTTCCATGGTCCTCCAGGGTCTTTGGAGAAAATCTTTCAAGATTATCTTTTTGAAATCCCTAAAAGAGCTACCATAACCTTCTGAGCTGATCTTATCCCTTTAATTTTAACTGGCTCAGTAAGTCCCCTCAGAAACCACTGTTTTGATAGGCTCTTAATTTTGGAAGGCAAACCAAGTAGGTGGAACAAGTATATTCATGAAAGAACTTGTCTGCAACATCAACTGATGACAAAGACTTATTTAAACACATTTCATTTGGAATAAAACTGTGCATGTGTTTAAACTGGGACCTTCGTAGCAATATGTTGGCTTTCCCTGGTATGTTCAGTACAGCAGTTCTCACACATTAGCATGCACCATGATCACCTGGGGAAAGCTTGGTAAAACATACAAGTTTCTGATATTGTAGCTCCAGACAGAGAGGACCCCTAAATGTTGATTTTGAACAAGTTCCCAGGTGATGCTGCCATTGCTGCACACGGACCACAGTTTAGGAACTAGTGCACAATACTATTCTACCAGTAGTTTAACAAAAACATAAATTTTCAAATAAATACCCAAAGAGCTATTCACTGTTATTATTTTTCATTGAGAGAACCCTATAGCTTAATTTATTTTACACAAATAATTTGATGTTTTCTTTCTCCTACTAGTGCTGACATACCGTATATATATATACTCAAGTATAAGCCGACCTGAATATGAGCTAAGGAAACTAATTTTACCATAAAAACTGCATTAAAAATGTGCTGAAAAAGACTTCTCTCTGACCACTGTGCCATTAAGGCTGGAAATCAACAAAAGGAAGGTGAAGAAAACAAGAAAAACCCTCTATTGCAAAAGGAGTACACACTATCCCAGATCAGAGATGAAATTAGGAAATTTCTAGAAACCAACAAAGAATGAGAACATGACAGACCAGAACGTCAGGGACACACAGCAAAAGCAGTTATCAGAGGAAGTTTCATAGCAAAACATGCACACATGAAAAAGAGACTTATGAAATATGTGCTGGCACAATTTTATAACCACTAGAGCAGAGTCAACAAGACAAGACAATCCTACTAATAGCAAAATAAAAGAAATAATAAAAATCAGGGCTGAGATTAAGAGGGAAAATAAGAAAACTATGGAAAAAATTAATGCTGCTAAAAAAGTTGGTATGTGAAAGGATAAACAGAATCAACAGTCTACTGGCAAGCCTAACCAAAGAAAGGAGGGAACAAATTTCAATAGCAAGGATGAGGGATGAAAGAGGGGACATTACAGCAGACCCTAATGAAATAAAAAGGTTAATTACACTTTACTATGAAGGACTGTAATCCAATGAATTCAACAACTTGGAAGACATGGACAAATTCTTGGAAAAACAATCCCTCCCTAGAATATCCCCAAAGGACGTAAAGAATCTCAACAGACTCAAAGCAATAGAAGAAACAGACAAGGTTATCAAGGAATTATCAACAAAAAATGGCTTCACAGGAGAAATCTACCAAGCATTCAGGGAAGAACTGACACCAATCCTACACAAACTCTTCCAGAACACAGAAAGATGGCAAACTCCTGAACTCCATCTATGAAGCGACTATTAACTTTGATACTGAAACCTGGCAGGGATGCCACAAGAATCGAGAACTACAGACCAATATGCCTAATGAACATTGATGCAAAAATCCTAAACAAAATACTGGCCAATAAAATACAAAAGTATATAAAACAAATAATTCACCATGACCAAGTGGGATTCATAACCAGGGATGTAGGGATGGTTTATTATATGAACGACCATTAGTATTATTTGCCACATCGACATGAAAAACTATTAAGAACCACATGATAATATCGATAGATGCGGAAAAACCATTCAACAACATCCAACACCAATTCCTGTTTAAGACACTCAAGAAGATAGGAATAGAAATAAAATTCCTCAAGATAATAAAAGCTATATATGAAAAACCAACAGCCAATGTGGTAGTCAATGGAGAAAAAACGAACACAAACCCACTGAAAAAAGGGACCAGACAAGGATGTTCCTTATCCCCACTCTTATTTAAGATCATACTGGAGGTTTTAGCTAGCATCATAAGGCAAAGAAAATACATCAAAGGTATTCACCTGGAGAAGGAAGAGGTGAAACTATCATTCTTTGCAGAGGATATGATTTTATATATGGAAAATCCCAAAAGCTCCACAAGGGGACTACTGGAAACCACAGAGGAATATGGCAGAGTGGGAGGACACAAGACCAACAAACAGAAGTCTATCAGATTGCTATACACATCGGATAAGACCACAGAAGAGATCAAAAAGGTGGTACCCTTCAATAGCCAAGCACAAATTGAAATATCTAGGGATATACCTGACTAAAGGAACAAAAGATTTATATGAGGAAAACTACAGAACACTATAAGAAACCAAGAGTGACCTAAAAAAATGGAAGAATATCCTACACTCGTGGATTGGAAGACTCAATACAGTAAAATATGTCAATTCTGCCCAAGGTACTATATAAGTTTAATGCAATCCCGATACAATTACCCCCATCTTTCTTCAAAGAAATCGAAAAACAGATTACCAACTTCATATAGAGAGGAAAGAATCCCCGACATAGTGGGAGGGCTTGCTTTACCTGACTTTAGCACCTATTATACAGCCACAGTGGCCAACATCTCATGGTATTGGTATAATGACAGATACTCAGACCAATGGAAAAGAACTGAAAACCCAGAAATCATGAGCATACAGACAACTGATCTTTGATAAGGGCCCAAAAAAGATCCAATGGGAAACAGATGACCTCTTCAACAAGTGGAAAAAAATGGACAGCTACCCGCAGAAAAATGCAGCAAGACCCTTATCTCACTCCATGCACAAGAATAAACTCAAGGTGGATCACAGACTTTGAAGTTAAACCCCAACCCAATAGGGCCATCAATGAGGGAATTGGGACCAACCCCCGGAACTTTGGTGCAGGGAATACATAGGCTATCAGAAATAGGGAAGGGCACAAATACAGATGAGTCACAAATTGACATGTGGGACATACTGAAGATAGAACACCTGTGTACATCGAAAGAATACACCAAGACAGTAATGAGAGAGCCCACGGACTAGGAAAACGTCTTTAGCAAGGACACATTAGACAAAGGCCTTATTACTAAAATCTACAAAACTCTGCTCTAGCTTCTAAAAAGAAAAAAAACCAATTGCCCACTGAAGAGGTGGGCAAAGGACCTGAACAGAAGTTTCAAAAAGGCAGAAATCCAAATGGCCAATAAACTTATGAGAAAATGTTTCCAATCATTAGTCATAAGAGAAATGCAAATTAAAACGAGATACCACTTAACACCCTCAAAGATAGCCTAATAAAAATTCAGAAAGCAACAAGTGTTGGAAGGGCTGTGGTGAGATAGGAACTCTCATCCACTGCTGATTGATCTGTAGGTATGTACAGCCACTATGGAAATCGATTTGGCGATATCTAAAACAGATGGAAATCAAGCTACCATAGGACCCAGCAATCCCCCTACTGCGCATATACCCAGAAGAGGCAAAAAAAACACATCACGGCCAGACATCTGTGCTCCAGTGTTCATCATGGCACAGTTCACAATTGCAAGGTGTTGGAAACAATCCAAATTTCCATCAACACACGAATGGATTAAAAAAATGTGGTACATGCATACAATGGAGTACCACGCATCGCTAAAAAGCAGTGATGAATGCATGAAGCACATGGCCGCAAGGGAAGTACTGGAGGAAATTATGCTAAGCGAAGTAAGCCAAGCACACAAGGACAGGTACAACACGAGTCTGCTGACGTAAGCTTAAAAAAAAAAAGTAAAAGGCATAGGGAAAAAGCTACTGTATACAAACATTCCTGGGGTGAGGTCCAGGTAGTATGGCAGAGATCAGACCAAATCCAGGGATACATATGGTAGCCAACTAAAAAAGGGGAGGGAAAAAAGTATAGGTAGCCAGGGGAACAGGCACTAATCCACAGAGGGGGAGGGTATTGTTTATATCTCCACAGGAAAAGAGGGAACAGACTTCAACCCTGTGCTCCAAGATGTGAACGCAACATTACCGGCATGAAGCAAGGAATCAGTAGAGAGGTCTGAGGGGCCGGCCCCAATCCCAACTATGTGGACAGCCACCCCTCCTCCCAGAATAATTCACTTCACAGGACAGCACTGAAACTACAGCACAGGGTGAGGGATATGTCTGATCAGAGCACATGGGAGCAAATGAAGCCTTGAGCACGATACCCCCCCTCAGAGCAGCTAATGCACAGAGAGGATCATATGGCCGGCCTCACTATGATACAGGGCATCCCTCACATAGTCAGCCCTTCAGGGAACAACAGTGGAGACAGTGTGGGAATTGCTCCCGATCTGACCCCACTACACCAAGGCAAGGCACTAAGGGCGTGCAACAGAACAGCACAGGGAACAGAGCAAGCGAGAGAGTACCAAAAATAGACTTTGGGGCCACGGCATGGCACCCCAACAGACTCCACCGAAAAACAATCCAAAGGTCAACAAACAGACCTTGAACTATTTACAAGGCTTTTCTTTTTTTTTGACATTGGCTTTTTGTTGTTCTTTTGTTGCTTTGTTTTGCTCTTTAAAAAAATATTATCTTACAGGTCTATATACATAAGATAGGAGGGACAAACAATCTGGAGGAGAGAACAATAGGGACTGATGGTTTGGGAGTGGGGGCCAAAGACATGGGAGAGTGGGAGGTGGTGGAAAGGAAGTGGTGTTAAATCCAGGGACAAAAGAACAACCAGTGATCCAAAATCGATGGCAAGGAGGGTGTAAAAAGCCTGGTAGGGCTTGATCAAGGGCAACATAACCAAAAGAACTACTGAAACCCAAATGAAGGCTGAGCATGATAGTGGGACAAGAGGAAAGTAAAAGGAAATACAGGAAAGAACTAGGAAGTAAAGGGCATTTATAGAGGTCTAAATATAGGCATGTACATATGTAAATGTATTTATATATGATAGGGAAATAGATGTATATGCATAGATTTATAGGTTTAGTATTAAGGTAGCAGATGGATATTGAGCCTCCACTCAAGTACTCCCTCAGTGCAAGAACACGTTGTTCTATTAAACTGGCATTCCATGATGCTCACCTTTCCCAACACGATCGCTGAAGGCAAATTGTTGCATAAACAAATGTGGTGAAGAAAGCTGATGGTGGCCAGCTTTCAAAAGATACAAAGTCTGGGGTCTTAAAGGCGTGGAGGTAAAACAGGCGGCCATCTAGCTCAGAAGCAACAAAGCCCACATGGAAGAAGCACACCAACCTGTGTGATCATGAGGTTTCCATGGGATCAGGTTTCAGGGATCAAAGAACCAAAAATCATATCATTGTGAATGACAGGGATTGTGGAGTGGGGACCCAAAGCCCATCTGTAGGCAACTGGACATCCCCTTACAGAAGGGTTGTGGGAAGGAGACAAGCCAGTCAGGGTGCAGTGTAGCATGGATGAAACATATAACTTTTCTTTAGTTTTTAAGTGTTTCCTCCCCACCACTATCATGATTCCAATTCTACCTTACAAATCTGGCTAGACCAGAGGATGTACACTGGTACTGGTAGAAACCGGAAACACAGGGAATCCAGGACAGATGAACCCTTCAGGACCACTGGTAAGAATGGTGATAACAGGGAGGGTGGAGGGAAGGTAGGGTAAAAAGGGTGAACCTATTAGAAGGATCTATGTATAACCCCAACCCTGGGGGATGGACAATAGAAAAGTGGGCGAAGGGAGACATCGGACAGTGTAAGACATGACAAAATAATAGTAATTTATAAATTAGCAAGGATTCATGGGGGAGGGGGAGGGGAAAATTGAGGAGCTGATACCAAGGGCTCAAGCAGAAACTAAAGGTTTTGAGGATGAGGGCAATAAATGTACAAATGTGCTTGACAAAATGGATGTATGTATGCATTGTGATAAGGGTTGTACGAGCCCCCAATAAAATGATTTTTTTTTAAAATGTGCTGAAAAAAACTTGGCTTATACACGAGTATATACGGTATTTATGTGTGCTTTTATTTGCTCTACTTGTTTTAAATGTTCGGAGGGTATTATGAGGAGAATCAGAATTAGAAGCTTCTATTATTCTCTAGATTATATGTTCCCAAACTTGTGTGGTCTATCATTCTCTTTTCAGAAAAACAAAAGCAAAACTAAGTTCTCCCACTAGCAATTAAAAGTTTTTGTACTATAGCTCATAACCCAGCATAAAGTTTAGGTATCTAATTTTGTAGCCCCCTGGATTGTTCCAGTGTCCCCGGGGCACTTTGGGAACTACTGCTGTAGACTTTTTGTTTTTTAAGTTCTTCGTTTTAGCTTGTGGGGGTGGTGGTGGTGTTAGAAGATGTAGCAGTCTGCTTTTATAAAGATAAAAAGTCCTGGAAACCCTAGAAGAGCCAGTCTGTTCCACAGGTTGCCAAGAGTGAGAACTGACTTGAAGGCAGTAAGTTTGGTAAATCCTGGACATTTGAAATACATTGGAAGAGGCACGACAAATAGGAAAGCAGTGATTCTAGCAATGGGCACAGGAGTGAAAGAAACTGGAGGTAGAAAGGGAGTCTGGGCACCAGGGTGGGTACCTCCAGAGGCTGTCAAGGGCTCTGAAGGAAATAATCAAGACCAGAAAGAGAATATAAAATACAAGGGAAAAGGAAAATGAGATAAGATCAATGTAAACACCAATCAATGTAGACTTGGATGTAGATGAGCCAGAAAATGTGCTAGGTAAGACAAGAATGTGATAGAGAGAGGAGGCACCAACTGAGGGAGGCTTCTGAGAATGAACAAAGGAAATGAATGATGAAATCCAAGGGCAAAGACAATATAAGATGGGCCTTAGAAAAATTAACAGATAAGCACAGCAACTTTTATGTTGTTTTCTGCTAATACATGAAACATGTAAAATCTAAAGTGCCTTCCCTAGTTTTAACAATTCTACTTCCCAGTATTTATCCTATAGAAAAGTTCCATGTATTAAAATCTAATAAATTTTTATGTTCTTTATAGCCTGAATTTTAAGTGTGAAAAAATAAAAACAAACCACCAAGGTTTAATATTACATAATATGATGGGGCTTCAAAAAGTTTGTGGAAAATTCCATTATTTTCTAATTTCATTTTTCCATGAACTTTTTGAAGCCTGTTCATATGGTAGGATGCCCATCATTTATATGGAGTGGAAAAAACAGAAGGTAGAGAGAAGCAATCTAGCATCGTGGTTAAGAATGTAACAAGTTCAACTGCCTCTATTCATTACTGCTGAATTACTCAATGTGCCACCCAGGCAAATTAACCAACCCTTTGCCTTAGTTCAGTGGCTCTCAACCTTCCTAATCCCAGGACCCTTTAATATAGTTTCTCAAGTTATAAAAAATCTTAACATAGTGAATGATGGGGGAGTGCGGAGTGGAGACCCAAAGCCCATTAGTAGGCCACTGGAGATCCCCT